GCTGGTATATTAACTGTTGTGGATAATAATTAAAATTATTTTTTAATGCCAACATCCATTTGTTGGATGTTGGTGGAATTGAGTCCACAATCCTCTGACTAATTGCCAAATACCGTTAATTTTTCAAGCTACTCTAATCTCAAATTGTTTAAAAACATAAGGTTTTAGTGATGGCGATATAACAGAGCGATCTAAAAAGTTTTTTATAAAATTTGTTATGCCGACTGGAGGTCCTATCTATTAGCTTCAAGAAATATGTTATCATGATGAACTTCCTCCATCTTGATGTGATTGCAATCTGAAGGAAATGAGGTGCTACCAGTATCTCTGGTCTGAAGGGAATATAAACTGTTGGTGTCCGACCTGAGATCAAATAAGAGAGGGCAGAGTTTTGGCCTTTGACTTGTTCCGATTATTGAAGAGTTCCCTTCAGGGTACAAATGGTAGCTGTGGTTTAAACCTCAAATCGCAGGAATATATTTTTGGTTAAAAGACTGATAAGGGGTGAAATCTATATTGCGGCATAAGTTTGGTGCTGTTGCAGAACAAGACACAGAGGAGAAATCAGGGGTATATGGATATAGCCTTACCCATATACCCGTATGAATGTCGTGGAAGTTTTCTCTTGAATATGTCGGATAAATGAGAAGTGTGCTGGGTTAAATGGTCGTACATCTATCGAATTCTCTTCTTTAACCAGGTATATTCAGACTCGGCTCTGTTCATAAACCCCGACAAGAAAAAAGCAATCACTGGTCTAAAGTCAATATCAGGTGAAATCAATCTTCCGGTATACCGGAAGGTGACCACCCTTATGATGTCATGAAAGATAGCATTATTTAAAATGCAATCTCCATCAACTAATGACCCATTTCAGTGCATTCCTTAACCTCTGCAAGCTCGCGCAACCACACTACTGAGATGGCTCTGCTGATTCGGCAACAGCACCTAGAGATGTATGTCCAAAATACCCAGCTGTATATCTGATAATGTGACAAAGTATGTAGGAATTTCCGAAGTCAATTCGAACCCAATAATTGCCCTGACAAGTTGAGTGGTGCAACTCAATCATAAGTCGCGTAGCGTGAAACAATATGAATCCTGTTGTGATGCCAACAGCACCGAGAACTTCCCTGAAATAAAAGGTCTACTAATTCAATACTAGTCTCCTGTCGGGCAGAGGAGTCTTTTCCAATCGATCACCAATTACATCAGTTCCATTCTAAGACCATAAATAACGATCTACGGAATGACACAACTACCAAGTATCAACCTGAAATTTCTCCAACCTATACTGGCGCCCTACTACGCGAAGGGTAAGGGATACTCAATGGGTTCAGGAATCCACCATAAGTTGCTCTGTCACAACACCTTGTGAGAGCACCGGAGAGAGAATCCAGACATATGTATATGGCATTTGAATATATCAGTCCTTAAACCAACATTCTCTTCCCACAGCCACTACGTAGATCCCGAAAGAACCTCAACCAACTGATCAGCCTGGACAAGTTCTGCTGCCAACTGGCTACCCGTAGTGCCAGATTAGACTGGTTAGACCCCATGTCAAATCATTCCAATTCCCGTTAAACTAGAGGTATTGGTAGAACCTTTTTTCCCCGGGATATTGCAATAGAGACCATCCCATCTACGCGGTTGTAAACGGAACGATGTGCAAAAATTGCAAACCTGCAATTTCTCTTTTGAGATATTATAACCGAATTTTTAAAACAACACTAAATTTGATAAAAGTAGATTTTTTGCTATATTTAGTCTTGATATTACTGGGTTTGAACTTTTCAGATATCTCTTCTTTTTGTAGAAATGTCCATTGTTGAAGTTTTCAGATTAAGATATCAAAAAGACGTTCAGACTTAGTTCAGATGATATAAGATATTTTATAAATAGAGGTGACTTCATGTCCCCAATATGACGAAATTATTTAATTTTATAATTAATATTTAACCCTAACGTTTTCAGAAATGTTTGGATGAACTCTGAAAATCAATATTTCCTTTCTGACTATTATAAGTGATTTATTTTCAAATCAATTTCAATCATTACCAATTATACAGAGAGAAATTTTATAATTTATATATTTTTCCTCCTTTATACCATTTATAAATAAATACATATCTTGTTATTATAAGTTTAAAACATTTATCTACTTTTATTCATTTGCCTTAAATTGATTAATTACATTTCGAACACTTAGCAAAAAGTTTACTTTCACATCAAGTGGAAAATCGTTTTAAATGTTTTGCATTACGTGTCAATTTAATTACTTCATTTGATTTAATATTAATTGTTTAAATGCATTTAAATTAATAGCAATTTGCAAGGCAAATTTGCCTCATCAATATGGAAGAGAATATGTATTGAAATTATAAATGAAGTTGTGTATTTGAAATATTAAATGTTGTTAAATACAACTATTGTGGGATAATTTTCTTAATGAATTTAAAAGTTTGTTTGAAAATATTTTTGAAATTTAAAATCAAAGATTTTATGTTGCAGAAATTAATAGGTTCCAAAACAGACATCTAAGAGCGACAAATAAGGTCTTAAATTGCTTTTCTGCGAGCTTAGGTACTTTTCAAAGCATGAGAGCTCTTTGCCTAACTCTGTTTTAGAGCAACTCTTAAGAGAGTGGGTTAAGCAAAAAACAGATTAAAAAGAGAGATTAAGAGCTAATAAATGGATCATTCTTCATTACCAAGTGATACTAAAGTGGCAATTGACTTTTCCTCCAGATTACCTGGGAGTTAAAAAAATACATCTTTTGATAACAGTACAAGTTTGCTGGGATAGTTACCAAAATATGTAACCCCCTTATTTATATAATTTATATTTTGCATACATATTTCAATATAAAAATTTCGTGCCTCATTTGCTTTTAACTCAAGTTTCAAATAATTTATCAATTCACTAGAAATCCATTAGAAAAATATATTCTGCACGTTTTAACTTTTTGGCACCTTTTGATCTTGTTGCTGTCGTTACTCTTGTATGTCTTCGACATTCATAACCTATAACCCCTTCAAAAAAGAAATAGGAAATTGGGGGAAAACATAAAACTCTTTTGTGTACTGTAAATAAAACAAGCGGCAAAGCAAGTAAGTGAGTGAGTGAGTGTTAGATGTGACACTTGAGTGTTGGTGAAATACGAAAAAGGGAAAATAAATGGAATAAAAGAAAACAGAAACAATATTTTTGCTGTATATTGTTAAGAACTTCTTAACATGCTAAAATGACTAATGGATTTTTGTTGGTTGGTTGGTTGAGTGGTGTGGGCTTACTTGTTTGCTATTTCGGTAGTGTAATGGAAAGTGGTGTTGGTGTAGGAAAAAAGTGGTGGAGAGATATTTATTTAAATAAAATTCACAAAACGGGTCTGGAGATGTACAAATAATCGAAATATATAAATATATAATATCTCAGACCGTATTGGACTACAAGAATACTATTCCGGAGGTGAGCTCTGCACCACATGGTTATCAGGTCACTCGGGTATAATAGACAATTAATAAGAGATGTACTTGTTGTAAAGGAAAGGGAGCTTGAAGAAGTCAAACTGACGAATACATTACTCTTCAAAGCATAGATTGATTGGATTGAATTTAGAACTTGTTCGATAGATGAATCCTATGGGATGATCACTACGAAATCTGGACGAGACACCCATCTTAGAATGAATAAGTTTAACGTTAGTATAATGGTACGTCTTCTTAGTAGATACACTAGATTACGAACATAACTATAAACAAGTAAGAAACTATAATCGGGAGTGGCCGACCTTATGATTTATTTTCAATAATAAAGCATTTATATTGAATCTTACATAGTTTCCAAATAATGTCTGTTCATGAACGGTTGTATGCTGACTAGGAGAAATAAAAGTAGGATTTTAAATATTTTCAACAGCCTTCGTCATTGCATCCAGAGAAGAGTATGTGACAAATTTTAACGAATTATATTGAAAATTGCGAGCTGTAGCGTGCACAAAAGATTTATATGGTTACATCGAATCAGAAAGTGATTCTGAACCGACTGGTATACAAATATTTTTTAGTGTTACAAACATCAGCACATTGTACCGATTTTTGGATAGATAGTAGTATATTAGACGTAGTTCGGAGATAAAAGGCCCAAATCGGTAAGTCCGGTTGTAGGGGGGGCTAAGGCAAAAATTGGTCCGATCCTTATAAAATTTAATGTTGGGATTTATGTTTATATAAAATTTATTTCTGCCAAATTTCATCTTGATACTAGCGTTTATAAGTGAATTGTGGACATTCAAGTAATTTTCTGAAGGGGATTTTGCATGGGGAGTAGGGTCAAATAATGCCCGATCATTGTGAAAATCGACAGTGTTATTTATAATTATATCAAACTTAGTTGTGCCGATTTCTGGAAAGATAGTAGTATATTTGACGTAGTTATGAGCTAAAAGGCCCGAATCGGAAGATCCGGTTATATGAGGGCTGGGGCAAAACTTGGGCCCGGGATTTATGTTTATATAAAACTTATTTGTTCCAAATTTGATAGTGATACCAGGGTTTATAAGTGAATTGTGGACATTCAAGTCATTTTCTGAAGCGGACTTTGTATGCGGGTTAGAATCATATAATGCCAGATCTTTACGAAAATTGCTATAGTTATTAAGACTTATATAAAACTTAGTTTTGTAAATTTTTGTAGATATACTTAGTAGATCATTTAACATAATTATAAGGTCAAAAGCCCTATTTGGTGATCCGGTTGTATGGGGGCTAGGTGAAATAATGGACCGATTTCAACCATTTTCAATAGCGTTAGTCCTTGGACCAAAAGAAGCTCACGTTCCAAATTTCATCAATTTGGACAGACAGACAGACGGACGGACGGACAGATGGACATAGGTTAATCGACTCAGGAAGTGATTCTGAGCCGCGTGTAGGACCAATATTTTTGGGTGTTACAAACATCAGCACAAACGCATAATACTAATACCACTATAGTGGTGTAGGGTATAAAAATTGGACGAACGGATCAGAGATCTCTGTCAATGCCAGACTTTCATCGAAATTATATCCAAATATCAGAGAATCGCTGTTAATAAAGATATTATATCACTCAGACGTACTGATTAGAAAATTGTGTAAATCCAGGAAACAGATTTTCTGATGAATTTTCTATGAAAAGAAGAGCACAACTGCACCGATAGCGATCTATGAAATGGCATAATTCTTTCTACTTTTACATAAAATGTCCCCACTGTTCATGACTGTTAGCTTTTAAAAATATGAAAAGGAAAAGTTTTGTTCGTTTGCTACTTTTTTTTATTGAAAACAAACAATAAAAAAAAACTTTTATATGAAGACATTAAGGAATTGTTCGTTGTTGTTGTTATTTTCACTTACCTGATTGTAATGGTAGAATACGGGTATTTTCACGTTGGGCGGAGGCGGTTGCTTGTGTTGTTGGTATAAAACAGGCAAAATTATTTAAAATAACCACGGCTAAGAAACAAACAATAAAACTTAAATTACAGCTGAGAAGACGATTGCTGTTGCTGCTGTGTTCTGGCCTCGTTTGTGGTCTTAGCCATGACGGTGATGATGATGACGTTGTTGATGTTGTAGCTGCTAAAGTTGTTTTGCAGACATTATTAGAGCGGGTGGTTATTGATGACACTTTTTTGTTGTTGTTATGAATTTTTAATAATTTTTTACATTTACTTGTTGACATTGTTGATGGCAAAGATTTTGTGTTTGATTTGATTAATTTTGGTTGTTGTTGTAGTTGCAGCCGGAATCCATTGCCAATAGGCGGATCCATGTTTGGCTTAAGCACACAAAAAAACGCTTAAAGCGTTTTTCTTAATACACAAAAATATTAAACAATTTTTGCTAATTACCAATGAGGTTTAATAAAACATTAAAAACACTCTTTAACACTTATTTGTATATAAATAATAATAAAAATATTAAAACTCAACAAAAATTAATTAATAAAACTTTTGCCACAATTTACACTTTTTATTTTGATTATATTCCTTTTTTTTGATATTTACTTGAAAACACTTTTATTTTATTTTTTATAAATTTAAATTTTCTTTTATCTTAAAATTTTAATTTGTTGTTAAACCAAAAATATTGCACTTCTTCGCCTTCTGTAAAGAAGAAAAAGATAAAAAGAGATTTAATAAACAATTATAAAAAATATTAATTTTATTTTCGTCTTAATACTAAAAAAACATTGTTGATTTTTTATATATATTTTTTTTCTTTTTTAAAGGAAATCATAAAAATAAAATAATTTTCTTTATTTTTAATTTTATTTTCTTTTAATCGTTGCCTGTTGTTGGCTGTATGTGCGTTGCTGTGTTTGTGGCGTTTGTGCAATAAAGAGATTTGTTTTTTTTTTTGTTGGATTTTCACTAGTACTGGTTGTTTTTCAGTTTATGCTCTCTGCTCTCTTAAGGGTGTATAAGTTTGTGTGTGTTTTTATAAGAGTGTTTGTTTGTGTGTGTTAATGTTATTGTACTTAACACAAACAGGAACCGGAAGTTAACGTTAGCTGCTGGTAATTACGTGCACAGAATCTATAAAAAGCTGCAGCAAAAGAAACTGTAAAGAGAAAAAGCAAAAAAAAAAAGAAAAACAATTATTATTATTTTCAAAATTTATGTTGGTTTTTCTCTACTTATTTAACTTAAATTATAAAGTGATTATAAAAAGAATGTTTTTAATGTTTCTATTTCATTTTTTTTTTTTTGTTGGGTAAAAGAAAATTATGTTGAAATATAAAATTCAACTGGGTTATATTTTATATGCAGAGCGCGTTATAAATTTCTTTGAAGATTTTTTTTTTCATAATTCATAATACTTAAGATATTAAATTCAAATAGGATTCAGGGATTAAAAAAGTAAAAATTGTTGAAAAATTTTGAAGTTTCAATGTTATAAAGCTTTAAGTAAATTCAAATATTTTATAACATTTTAATTTGTATTTTAGAATAACTTGAAGATTTATGCTTGAATTTTAATTAAATATTACTCATATTATTAGCAATGTATTCAGTTTTAATTTTGAGTTTATAATATTAAATTTCAGTAAAAATTAATTGTGGATGATAGCAAAATGAAATTAAATATGATTCATTTTATTTTCAACAACATTATCTAGAATAAATATAAATTGTTTTATCTAGAACAAAACAAGTCAGAGTTCTATTTATATACCCTTCACCATACTGTGTTTTTTTTTTTAATGTTAATACATTATTATTTTAGTAAGTTAGCTAGTTGATAGTTCGTTAGTTAGTAGTTAATTAGTTAATTAGTTAGTTAGTTAGTTAGTTAGTTAGTTAGTTAGTTAGTTAGTTAGTAGTAGTTAGTTAGTGAGTTAGTTAGTTAGTTAGTTAGTTAGTTAGTTAGTTAGTTAGTTAGTTAGTTAGTTAGTTAGTTAGTTAGTTAGTTAGTAGTTAGTTAGTTAGTTAGTTAGTTAGTTAGTTTGTTTGTCAGTTAGTTTGTTTGTTAGTTAGTGTAGTTAGTTAGTTAGTTAGTTAGTTAGTTAGTTAGTTAGTAGTTAGTTAGTTAGTTAGTAGTTAGTTAGTTAGTAGTTAGTTAGTAGTAGTTAGTTAGTTAGTTTAGTTAGTTAGTTAGTAGTTAGTTAGTTAGTTAGTTAGTAGGTTAGTTAGTTAGTTAGTTAGTTAGTAGTTAGTTAGTTAGTTAGTAGTAGTTAGTTAGTTAGTGTTAGTTAGTTAGTTAGTTAGTTAGTAGTAGTAGTTAGTTAGTTAGTTAGTAGTTAGTTAGTTAGTAGTTAGTTAGTTAGTTAGTTAGTTAGTTAGTTAGTTAGTTAGTTAGTTAGTAGTTAGTAGTTAGTTAGTTAGTTAGTTAGTTAGTTTAGTAGTTAGTTAGTTAGTTAGTTAGTTAGTAGTTAGTTAGTTAGTTAGTTAGTTAGTTATAGTTAGTTAGTTAGTAGTTAGTAGTTAGTTAGTTAGTTAGTTAGTTAGTTTAGTTAGTTAGTTAGTTAGTTTAGTTAGTTAGTAGTTAGTTTAGTAGTTAGTAGTTAGTTAGTAGTTAGTTAGTTAGTTAGTAGTTAGTTAGTTAGTTAGTTAGTTAGTTAGTTAGTTAGTTAGTTAGTTAGTTAGTAGTTAGTTGTTAGTTAGTTAGTTAGTTAGTTAGTTAGTTAGTTAGTTAGTTAGTTAGTTAGTTAGTTAGTAGTTAGTTAGTTAGTTAGTTAGTTAGTAGTTAGTTAGTAGTTAGTTAGTTAGTTAGTTAGTTAGTTAGTTAGTTAGTTAGTTAGTAGTTAGTTAGTTAGTTAGTTAGTTAGTTAGTTAGTTAGTTAGTTAGTTAGTTAGTTAGTTAGTTAGTTAGTTAGTAGTTAGTTAGTTAGTTAGTAGTTAGTTAGTTAGTTAGTTAGTTAGTTAGTTAGTTAGTTAGTAGTTAGTTAGTTAGTTAGTTAGTTAGTAGTTAGTAGTTAGTTAGTTAGTTAGTTAGTTAGTTAGTTAGTTAGTTAGTTAGTAGTTAGTTAGTTAGTTAGTTAGTTAGTTAGTTAGTTAGTTAGTTAGTAGTTAGTTAGTTAGTTAGTTAGTTAGTTAGTTAGTAGTAGTAGTTAGTTAGTAGTTAGTTAGTAGTTAGTTAGTTAGTAGTTAGTTAGTTAGTTAGTATTAGTTAGTTAGTAGTTAGTTAGTTAGTTAGTTAGTTAGTTAGTTAGTTAGTTAGTGTTAGTTAGTTAGTTAGTTAGTTAGTTAGTTAGTTAGTTAGTTAGTTAGTTAGTTAGTTAGTTAGTTAGTTTAGTTAGTTAGTTAGTTAGTTAGTTAGTTAGTTAGTTAGTTAGTTAGTTAGTAGTAGTTAGTTAGTTAGTTAGTTAGTTAGTTAGTAGTTAGTTAGTTAGTTAGTTAGTTAGTTAGTTGTTAGTTAGTTAGTTAGTATAGTTAGTTAGTTAGTTAGTTAGTTAGTTAGTTAGTAGTTAGTTAGTAGTTAGTTAGTTAGTTAGTTAGTAGTTAGTAGTAGTTAGTAGTAGTTAGTAGTTAGTTAGTTAGTAGTTAGTAGTAGTTAGTAGTTAGTTAGTTAGTTAGTTAGTGATACATATCAAAACTCTAAACTTCATTATGTTCAAATTCAGCCTAAAGTAACTCCAAAAAGTTTCACCGCAAAAGCATTTTAATTTTCTACTACCTAATTGCCTTAATTTCCTCGAACTCGCACTCGTGATCTAAATTTTGATTAATATTGCTTATTTGGTCACTTTCCAACAAACCAAATAAACAAATTACACCGGATAAGCAAAACTGTGGCCCAAAAAGAAATCATTCATCAAAAAACAAGTTTACAAATTGCTTTTAATCTATAATCTTTTTAAGAAACAGATTGATTAAACAACACAATTTACAAAATTAAATCTTGAAAATTAAACTGAAAATATACACATAAAACACGGACAAAAAAGCATCATAACAAAAACCAAAATCAAAGAAAATGTTGAAAATAAAAACAGCAACATAAACAACAACTTTATGATCAACCATAGACCAAGTTAACATTACTAGCTGTGGTTGCTTTGGATAATTATGTTAAAAGGGTCATTCACTTTACTGGTAGCATGAGTAAAGCATACGTACAGTGGGCTTATTGAAAAAAAAAAAAAACAACAACCATAAAATCTCTACCACACTAATAACAACAAGAAAACATAAGCAACACTAACAAATAATAATAAATAAACAAGCAGTAAGAAAATAAACAGAGTCGGTGTTAAAAAAGACTACAGGTTTTTTCTTTCTTTTTCAGTTTTTTGCATACACTCTCTCATAACAAACAACAAAACCAACTACAATTATTATTATGTTGTTGTGGTTGGTGTTGTTGTTGTTATTTGTGCTGCTCTGAATTGCTGGCAATGTTAGTATTACTGTTAATTTCCAAATGGCTGACAGTTTTTGTTACAATTTTATTTTCCTTTTCCTCTCTCCTACTCTCTGTTATAACAGATATACTAGTATCACCACTACTATTGCAAGGTTTTTAATGTAATTTTTCATTTTGTTTTTCTTTTCGTACTTTCTATGACTGTGTTGTTAATATTTGTTGTTAGACAGTTATATAGTTGTATATGTTGTTGTTGTTTTTGGCTTGATATCAGGCAGTCAGCCACACTTTGTAGTTGGTGTGTATGTTTTTCTCTCACTCTCGGTGTCTGTTGCTGTCTATTTAAACATGCTGATGTTGTTGACGATGATGGTGTGATGTTGATATGTTGCTGGTGTTGGTGTTAAATGAGTCTCCATGAATTCATTATACATAAAAAAAACTTCAAGTAGCAACAACCAAACAGCCATCATATTCATATAAATAATAACAAACAATGTGTCTACTTGCAAACTTTAGCTTTAGTTTGCCGCCATTATAGTCTTAGTTAGCATCATTAACATGGTCTTAAACAAGAATTTTTATTATTATTACTATAATATTTTATTTAAAAGAAGAAAATCTCTTAACAATCTTAACTACACAAGATAAAGGCAGTGGTGTAAAGTAAGAAATTCCTTTAAAAGAAAATTTATAATTTTTAAAATCTAATTATCACATTGGAAATGTTACCGCACAGTGGAGCAAAGGAATATTAAATGATTATTTTTAAGTGTTTATTTTGATTATATTAAAACTTTTCATGTCTAAAAGCGGACCAGCCGTTTAGTAACTAAACATAAAATTTTCTTTAAGAAAACCCCATTATCCACCATCCTATAAAATCATATTTGTTGCCCGTATTTTGTTCACAATTCAAGCATAAAGGTGCAATTTTATTTCTTTATTTATGAATATAAAGCCATTTAGCTGTTTTATTTTCTTTATCTTCATCTAATAGCCATGAAAGGACAACAAATAATAAATCAAAAGAATTGATATAAAACATCTTACAAAAGACATTTTTTCTTTCATATTCCACAATTTATATTTTCCACCTTTTTTTTGTAAGGTGTAAGTAAGAAAAAATAAATTAATGTTTTTTTTTTTCATGATTTTCCTTGAGATTTATTTTTTCTACTTTTAACCTCAGGACATATTATCAAGAAAAGTGAAAATGGTTTGGAATTTATTTTTGTTTGTATTTGTTGTCGTCTACAATTGTGCAATTGACATTAGAATTTCATTTTGTAGATTT